GTGAAGTGCAGCTTTGATACTTTGATCAGCTGTTGTTTCATCAGCGTGTTTCCCCCTGCCACTTGCTAGCCTGACCGCTCCATTCTTCTCTGGTTTTGGGCCTCTATGATTCATAAGCCCAGCACACAGTCGTTTGAGCCGACTCCGCTTTTTGTGCAGTTATCGGCGGTTCTTCTAGTTTCTTGCCTAACGTGCAATGGAAAGTTAGCGCGACATTTGTGCCCTGAAAGATAATTATACTCTGCATGGGAGCGGTGTTGGCATAGGTTCGTGGTAATGAAATAAACGCAGTATGTGGTCTGTTACATGCAAAGGTATAGGCGGACTTAAGACGGACTGCTGCTGGTGGTGGGGGTCGAGTGGGACTCCTAGAGTGCTCGCTGGACTTCACGTGACTCTGTAGACTTCCAGGCGGTGTGGCAGTCAGGCTGCTGGGAAATTTAATAATCTTCATGTGCGCTACATGAGTGAAACGTGTTGAGCGTTTTGCGTAAAGAGGACAAGCATCGTGCATGCGGTACTCTCGGCAATGGAAGTGGCCGTTTGGAGAGTCTCCGATAGTAGTACGTGTTGTGAGTAGTCCTTGGCAGCTGCTTGCGAGCATTACACTGCTCGTGCGTAGGGCAATTCGAGTCTGCTTATTTCAGGAATCACGCTGTGTGCTGCCATGATGGCTCCTGGGCAGCTGGTCACTGATTGGATGCAAGCCGAAAATCTCCTGCCGTTTCTGGAACTTGGGGATTTGGTCGAGTTCCGACGAGTGGTCGGTATTGCGAAACGACGAATTTACACAGTCTGTTCACTCGCATTCAACTTTTCTTGCCATAATGCCCTATTTTCCGTTGTCTTCAATGAGTACTGGAGAATTTGGGTGGAGGCGGAGGAAGTCGGAGGTTTCCGGGATGCGTCCAGGAGACCTTTTTTTTTCATTTTTTGAGCTGCTAGCGATTTTTAATGAAAGTCGCCATACACCCGCAGGCTCGCCTTCGGCCTTTCTGCCCGGCTGACTCTCCATCTTTTTCAGCGTTTTCATTCTCGGGTTAAGAGCCCTATCGAGCTGAGGAAGGCGGGAGGGGGAAGGAAAGGAATTGAGTTGTTGAGTTCACTGTGCGCTGCTAAGGCTGCTTCGTTAAGGCTGGAAAAGGTCGCTTAAATCTGTGCGGTTTGTTAAATTTGTTTCACAGTCCGGACGAGCGCCGAAATTTTCGATCTGGCTATTTCGCAAAAAAATATGCTTTGTAAAAAGCAGTTATTTTTCTTTTTTTATGGGAAATATGGGACTGATCGCAGTTTTTCCTTAGAACAGTCAGGGATGAAAATTTTGGGTGAGAAAAAAGCCATGCGATTGTCCTCCAATTTGAGTGCTAGCCACATCGTTATGTTTTCTACCAGTTGAGTTCGGTCGACAATTGGTCGATGTTACCAAACAAGAAATTAGACGCCGAGAAAAAGTCAGCAAGCATAAACTCGCCAGCTTCCGCTCAGCATCTGATTTTTTGCTTAGAATCATAGAAATATATAACCCATCCTATCTCAGCAAGATCTAGTAGTTATTCCAGTTCCCCTACCCTTTTTTGTTACGATCTTCTGCGACTTAAACCGACTTTTTCACCTCTTCTTCTACCTTTTCATTCAAATTGAAGTCGAAGTTCCAATTTAGACCCGCCCATAACCAACGGGGTGTGTCTCAAGGATCGCAGCTCCCCCCGGATCTTGGCTGAGCTGAGACGAGCCGTGTTTAGTAGTTACCGGTTAATGTAGAACTTAAATTATTTGAAATAGATCATCTAGGCGTATTTTGATATTTGTGTTATGTTAGTTGAATATGTTATTGTCTTTAAGCACTGGGGAGTATACATTGGGAGCCATGATGATAAAGCATATATTACACATACGGGGACCGATTTTGGTGATTTCGGTGGCCCAGTGAGCAGCTCCGCGCAATCACTAACAACAATCAAGACGAAAATGACTGGCCGACATCAAATACAGGTAAAGTCATTGATAGCACTGGCTCTGTCCGTATCCATGTTCACTGCAAACATAGCGCGAAAATCAAGACCAAAAATTTTTGTTAGAATTTGAGTTTTTTTTTCCGCAAATCAGAAAATGTGGGACGTAAATGTAATGTTTTGTTGCAGTTCTCATGGCGAAAAATGTTTTTCAGTTTGTGGGGTTTCGATTACAAGGTAAACTTCTGGATGCGTTTTAGGTCCGTTGTGACGAGCTTTCGATTGTTGCACAGGGTGACAGTTGCAGGATAAACAATTCTCTCGACAGAGAAAGGCGGCCGTTTCCGCCAGCTATTGTGGTGAATCGAGCTTTGCTTATGGTAACATTATTAATCATTTGTTCTAAACACTTAAATTTTCTCTGTTTTCTTCATTAATTTTCGTTTTATAACAATGAGGTGATGTGCTATAAACGCTCTCGGCAACCTACTCTTGATTGCCGTACCATCTGAGGTCATCCTGCTGCTCGTTAGCGTTCATTTTTCTTTTCTGCCTCATTTGGAGGAGGGTGTTAGATAGTGGAGAAAAAGATTGGAGTTAAATGTCATGTGTAAGAGAACATTTCATGATGCAGTCTGTGT